CCTGAACATTGATTTATGCATGCTGAAGACTTTATCAAAGGTTTTGTAACCCTTTCTGGGCCTGTGGGCATCCACATTTCTTTGTTCAGACACTTGTGCTGGGAAAAACAAAATGTGAGATTAAATTGCTTTTGTTTTATATTTTATAATTGAGTTAATCTTCTGAATTAAAATATCTTTGGATGATTCGTCCTCTATGTAAAGCGCCCTCTGCAGCTATTCATAACAAAATTCAATTCAGTAATCGTTTACCATATGTCTTCTGGTAAAGGTTAACAGCCAACTGTCAAAATAGATTTTTTGCAGCAACTTTGCTGTGGTTCATTTTCTGTCTAATACAGTGAAGAACTAATCGAATCCAGCACTGGTAGTAGGGTTACTGAACCACCTTAAGGTCAGGATCATTTTCCACATGTCATCAGCTCACTTAGCATCTAATGATTCATGATTATATAGCCACCCCTCACCTGAGTGGCATTCAGTTGTCCTGATGAATCTAATTCAATTTGATACAAGTCCCTCATAGCTCTGCTGTGGTTAAATAACCATGAATTAATCTTGAATCTTTCTCTGTCACTCCGTTTAATCTTGCTGTTCTGGTCCTGTCGTGAATATCTGGGATGGGGTAGGAACTCTGGGCTGGAACTGGAGACTTAGCCTTTCCTGAACAACGCCGATGTGTTGTATGTCTTGTTTACTCTTGAGTGATGGTGAACTCCTAGGGACTTGTAGGACCATTCCACATTCATGTTCTTTGTTTTTGATGTCTCTGCTTTGTGAAGTGGAGAGAAGACAGAATGGCATTCTAAATCCCCTTTCCACGTCACTGTGGGAAAGGTTCACTTCAGTGTGATTGGATTTCTGTAGGAACAAATGTCTTTTGCCATCTGATAAGACAACAACAGGCTCTGTGGAGAAGGAGGGCTTCTTATTGGCCACATGTTCCCTCTAATCAATGGAAACTCTGTTTTCTTCTGGAATCTCACTCCTAAGATTCAGGTGTGACTTGCCGTAGAAATTCTTGAAAAACTCCAGAACTTTGGCCTCTCTATTACATTCTGTGTTTGAAAATGAAATTGCATGTTGCTTGCGGAGCAGTTTTGCTTCACCACTTCTCTTCTGTTCAGATGACTCTGATGGTTTGAGAAATCCTCTTGGTTACTGGTGATCACCTTGTAAGTGGGGATCTGTCATGCTTCACTAAGACCTACTGACAATAAGAAGAATTTCCAACAAATTCTGTAAAAACAATGAACAGCAGCTTTCAGCCTGTCACCATGATGCAAACAGTAGTTCTTTTCAAAACATTAAATTCGAATTAATTGATCAAATCTGAAAAATCGCCCATCCCAGTTTGTTCATTCAGCCATATTTATAATGTAAAGCTGATGTGTTTCACTGTTGCCAGACTAATCATTAATTTCTCATTATTTTATGAACATACGTATGCATATATTTTTATTTTGTTGCATTACTTGCAGTTATATTAGAATAACGATTTCACAAATGAGAACATTTTTAGAATAATTCAAGTTATTTTTGCTTTAAAATGTATCCTAGACATCAGACAAACAGATAAAGAAGATCTAATGAAATAACACTTAAAATGTCATGTGATATTGAACACTTCGATCCTGCATTCACCAGTTTTTTTGAATGTCGGCTTCTCTTTTGGCAGCAATTGACTTGAAGGTATTTTGGTCTATTTTCCCTTATAGAACAGCTTCATTTCATTGATTTTTTAAATTTATTTTTAACAGTCTTGAATAAACTCCTTGCTTCAGGTCAGATAATATCCAGATTCTTCTAAAACACATTTTACTGAGAGTCATTGTGTTCACAGCCTGAACATTGATTTATGCATGCTGAAGACTTTATCAAAGGTTTTGTAACCCTTTCTGGGCCTGTGGGCATCCACATTTCTTTGTTCAGACACTTGTGCTGGGAAAAACAAAATGTGAGATTAAATTGCTTTTGTTTTATATTTTATAATTGAGTTAATCTTCTGAATTAAAATATCTTTGGATGATTCGTCCTCTATGTAAAGCGCCCTCTGCAGCTATTCATAACAAAATTCAATTCAGTAATCGTTTACCATATGTCTTCTGGTAAAGGTTAACAGTCAACTGTCAAAATAGATTTTTTGCAGCAACTTTGCTGTGGTTCATTTTCTGTCTAATACAGTGAAGAACTAATCGAATCCAGCACTGGTAGTAGGGTTACTGAACCACCTTAAGGTCAGGATCATTTTCCACATGTCATCAGCTCACTTAGCATCTAATGATTCATGATTATATAGCCACCCCTCACCTGAGTGGCATTCAGTTGTCCTGATGAATCTAATTCAATTTGATACAAGTCCCTCATAGCTCTGCTGTGGTTAAATAACCATGAATTAATCTTGAATCTTTCTCTGTCACTCCGTTTAATCTTGCTGTTCTGGTCCTGTCGTGAATATCTGGGATGGGGTAGGAACTCTGGGCTGGAACTGGAGACTTAGCCTTTCCTGAACAACGCCGATGTGTTGTATGTCTTGTTTACTCTTGAGTGATGGTGAACTCCTAGGGACTTGTAGGACCATTCCACATTCATGTTCTTTGTTTTTGATGTCTCTGCTTTGTGAAGTGGAGAGAAGACAGAATGGCATTCTAAATCCCCTTTCCACGTCACTGTGGGAAAGGTTCACTTCAGTGTGATTGGATTTCTGTAGGAACAAATGTCTTTTGCCATCTGATAAGACAACAACAGGCTCTGTGGAGAAGGAGGGCTTCTTATTGGCCACATGTTCCCTCTAATCAATGGAAACTCTGTTTTCTTCTGGAATCTCACTCCTAAGATTCAGGTCTGACTTGCCGTAGAAATTCTTGAAAAACTCCAGAACTTTGGCCTCTCTATTACATTCTGTGTTTGAAAATGAAATTGCATGTTGCTTGCGGAGCAGTTTTGCTTCACCACTTCTCTTCTGTTCAGATGACTCTGATGGTTTGAGAAATCCTCTTGGTTACTGGTGATCACCTTGTAAGTGGGGATCTGTCATGCTTCACTAAGACCTACTGACAATAAGAAGAATTTCCAACAAAGCGTATATAAGGAAAAAAATGTTATATGTTCCATATCTACCGATGTGGTTCAGATTTTGTGTAGATGCAGGTTCTGTCATTTCCCCTTTCTGATTTGCAAACTCTATGCAGTCCAAGGTTTCTTTGTTTTGTCTAATGGTGATTTAAATGGGATCAATGATGGTTGCTTTTAAATACTAGCTAGCTGACTAGATCATAATCTACGCAACATGACTATTTATTATATCAATAACTAGAGTCACAACAAAATCTAGCCAGATTTTTTTTATTTAAAAAAAAAAATTTTTTATATACAGTATTTATGGACACCAAATCTTTACACACTTGTTTGTTTTTTGCTATTTTGGAGCTTGCAAGCTTTTTCTCTCTCATCAGGAGAAATCTTGTGTCCATTGTTGAAGCTCGTATGGTTACGACCTGCATCACATGAGAGAATTTGGAAGCCTAGCCGAGTACCTTACGGCTACCCCCCGAACTCCAGTTTTTAAACATGTTGGAAAAAATTGGGCGAGTCAGCTCGAACCTCATCACACTGACTATGAACAGAATGTTCATGCTGTTCTCTGGATGATTCTACAATTGGAGATGCATTTCACATTTCAAAAAGTTAATGAAAAAACTGTTCACTAACAGAAATTCTTTCCAGTATTTTATTGAAAACATATTCAAATCATTCAGTGCTTCCCAAACACAAGTTACTTCCTTTGTTTACTTTTAACAGAAAAAAAAAAAAAAAAAACTGATTTCTATAGTATTTTTGTCAACTCTGTTACAGACAAATTAGGCAAAGTGTAGAAATAACAATAAATCATAAGAGAAAAATCCTTCTTGTTCCATTAGACAAACTGTCTTTACATCCCAACACTTGAAACTGAGATAATATTTCACTTATGCATACCTTAAAAATGAAAAAAAAAGTGTCCACTAGGAGCAATTATTTTTAATCTAAAAATGTATTTTATACAATATCCATTGTTAAAATATGAAAAGGGTGCAGATATACATCAATAATGTTTTTGCGATTTTAAACAACAATTTCATTATTTTTGGTGAAAATAGTGCATAAACAGAGTTGACCCGTTACGTTACAGAATTGATTAAAGTAACATAATTGATTGGTTAACTTGGGACTATGGAATCGCGTTCAAAATCGCAGGCGATTCATTGCCGATTATGAACGCGATTTTGTGTAGCTTGTCAGTGAACTACGGCTCTGTGTAGTAAATGCCGCTCCATCTGAAAGCACGTGCTGGAGATTTACTACTAATCACAGAAGCGGCTTTACTGACGAGATGCGCATGAAAATCGCATTCAATTTTTTTGCACAGCCCTACATGCATTAAAGGAGTAGTTCACCAACAATGAAAATTCCCACCCTCATGTCATTGCAAAACAACGTGACTTACTTTCTTTTGTTGTACTCGAATGGTGATTTTAAATATATATATATATTCTTACATTTTGGCTTAAATATAGTAAATCACTGTCTGTTCCACACAAAGCTACAATATGGTTTCAGAAGGCTTATAATGTATTAGCGGTGCTTGTTAAAGCAAGCATAATAATCCATATCATGGGAGCAGGTGCCATTTTACAGATACTTGCTATCTTTGCTCCTAAATGAGATTCTAGCAGAAATGGTTATTATGAAGATAGGAGTTTAGCATTAAGACGTGTCTGTAATATGGCTGCAATGACCAATAAAGAGCCACCTAGCAGTTCCCTAGGAACCACCCAAAAGACCCTAGCAACGCAACCTTGTAGCAACATGCTAAAAATTAGGAATTTTCTCTCTCTTAATAAACTGCATTTTATATAGTAGTATAGTCTGTATTTAGTTCAGGTTAAATCTGAACACCTACATATGTGTTTTTGTGCGTGTAAACAAATATTGTATGTGTTTCTTTTACATGTTTGCAGTTGGTACAGATTATGGGCAGGACACCATTGAAAGTGCGGGAGGCTTCTTGTTTAAAATATTCCACAACAAAGACCAGATCGGTCACGAGGAAACCAGGGCCATAAAACAGATGTTTGGACCTTTTCCGGCCTCTGCCGCCGAGTTGTCTTATGCAGCTGTGGGTCGTTTAGTGGCCCAGATCGGACAATCTCAGGTGGATGCTTTCATCCAAACACAGAGTTCTCTCAAGACGGTGAACCGTAGTTCTATCTTTGGACGGAACATTGCTTTCTCATTTGACACATATGTGCTGGATGCTCAGGATCCTGTGCCCCGGTCAGAGGGGACTGATACGGAGCAGGACATGGACTTTCACAGCTTCCTCAATAATCACGTTGGTGAGCGGAAGGCTCGGGGTGACAGAGATGATGCTTACTCAGCAGAAGAACTGGAGCAGAGAAACGCAGACAGCTCCATCCTGAGACAAGAGGTGGAGAAATACCTGAATGAGGGAAATATGCTATCGTCCAGTGCCGAAGAGCTCTCCACCTCTCTTTTTGAGATGCTTGCCTCCACAAAGAGTGATGACGAACTACAAAATGAGGTGAGAAAAGTTTGTATATAAATCTATACATTTATTTATATAAATTTATATCTGTATCTTTCAAGAGAACTACTGTCATGGTGAAAAAAACAGTTTGCAATCTTGCTGAGCAAATTGTTTAGAGTTAGTTACTGTCGATATGTTGTCACATAGTACATAAGGTTTTGAGCAGGCTACAAATGCACACTTATGGAATTAATCATTTATTAGACAGAATTGTTCAACAATAACAGTAAAGTAATGAAGACTGAGAATGGGAGCTCCTGCATGTCTGCACTGTCGCTGGGTTCTTGGTGCTTTCAAAATAAAACACTTTTTGGCCAAACAAGAAAAAATGATCGGACGATGCAGATTAAAAAAAAAAAAAAAAATAAATAAAATAAAAAAAAATTAGTTTTTTAATAAAATCAGTTAATTAGAGATGCTTTTGATTATTAAAATGTAATGAAACCATTCAAATGAAATCAAGAAAAATAATGGAAAACAGAATTTGGTAAAAATAAAACTGAATTTGAGAAAAAAAACGC